GCACATAGGTGTCAAATGGGCTACTAGTGACTCTGGATTGGAAAAGAAACCAATCCTCCCCTTGGCACCACCTAAACAGCCCAATCAGGTGCTCCTCCGATGATCAGTTATGCTAATGAAGCAGACTTCTTAGACCGTAACAGAATATGATGGCTAAACCAGTAGATCCAGTAGAAAAATAAAACTGTTTTATTTTTCTATGCCCTGAGTTCAGATGACAGTGAAAATTGAACTATTGGGATGTACTAAGGAAGGATCACATGTCTGCTTTCTGTTAAATACTTTAAGAGAGTGGAGATTTACAGTAAGTCTAACCCCTCTGTGTTGGAAACACCGGGGTTTGGAATATTTCCCAGACACTAGGCTCCAGCTTTGCTCACCTTGAGCCTGCTGGTCAGGAAGTGGGCTCCTGAGAAATGAGAGAAAATGGACATTTTCTCAGGAAAATGACTCTCCCCCTGGAGGTCCAGGCTTCTCACCAGAGAACACCTTGCAAACTCACGATGACAATCCCGTCTAAATAGTGGCAAAGCGCAGACGTGCTGCTGGGAAATGAGCTGGGATTCTAGCACAAGCTTGATGAATGCAAAGGAAGGGGCTGCCCCCCACCCCTACCAGTGGCTTTGCATCACACAGACCTTTGGCAAATGTTACTCATGCCCACAGGCAGAGGCAGCTGTCCCCTCTTAGACTGCTTCCCCAGTTTGGCATCCTTTGGTATCTGCCCAGTCTTCCCAGAGGCCAAAAAAGTAGCTTCGACCTGGGTTAAGCTGAAGGAAAGATGAGCAGAGAAGAGGACTTGCAGTCAAAACTCTCCAGAGCTTCTGGTGTTTCCATAGACTGGGTCTTGAAATGGGTCCAAGAAATGGATGTGAAATGATTCCTGAGGTAGGTTCTGGGGACCCCTTAGGCTTTGTTCTCTGCCCTCACAGTCTAGGGACTCTATGGCTCCTAGGCCAGGCAATCACCATTGAATAAACCCTGGTTTCTCCACAGAAAGACCCAACCAATCCCCGAGTTCAGGAACACCAGCAAGGCTTCTAGAGTCATGCAAAGCTCCAAATTTGTGGGGGCACTTGCCGGTGGTGGAAAATCAGACCATGTCATCCGAGTCTTGTGTGACCCACTCAGGAAACAGATGACAGGGGCGATTTCATTCCCCAGTGAGACTCCTCCTCTTCCTTCATTATCTCTTGTTTTTTCTGAGCAAAAGCTACTTGTGCTGCCTCAGTCAGCACCATGATGATAATTTGCATCCAGACTCTTTCCACACCTTGTGGGAAGCACATATGATGGGAGCCAAAAATTCTTGAGCACCAACAGGTACCAGGTACACAGGTAAGTGCGCACTTCGCCAGCAGGATCTCCTCGAATCCTCATAGCCCTGAGGTGAAGCACTGTTACCATTCTTATTTTTACTAATGAGGAATTAGAGGTCAGTGCAATTCAGCAATTTGCCCAAGATCACAAAGCCATTAAGTGGTGAAGCCAGGATTTGAACCCAGTTCGTGTGACTTTGGTACCCACACCCATTACCACCTCACAGCATGGGGAGTTCCAAATCTTTAATGAAGTTAAAAGGCTGAGATATAATGAAGAAGGAAGAGCAGAGCTCCCCTGACTCTGCCAAGCTCTGCCCATGGAGGTGACATGTGTATCTGAGATACAACACCCCCAGGAAGTCTTTAACCTGAGAGTAGGGGCTTCGCCTTATTCCCTACTGCACCCCCAGTGGCAATAGCCAGGCCTGGCTCACAGGTGAATGCTTACTGCAAGAATGAAGGAGCTCCTCCTGTCTGCCCTGCCTGCCTTCTCCTCCCTCTCTGCCAAGCTCCAAGTGTGCTCTGGGCTCAGCAGCACCCCCTGAGCAGGGACCAAGTTCTTCCCAGATTGACCTGTGTCCCCACCAGTGACCCTGGCATGGTTTAAGCACACCCGTTCCCTAGATGGGCAGTTGGGGCAGCTTTGAACATGTGCCAGTACCCATAGAATGAGCTCTCAGAGCTCTATGAGTAAGGTCCTAAGGGTTTTCACCCTGTGGGGCTTTCTTCCATCCACACATCTTTTTTCATATATATTTTTTACATCATTTTTCATTTCTGTACAATGTATACATTTTCATCTTGGTTTATAGTCCCTGTAAAATTCCCACCACCCTTGTTTTGATCCTACTCCCTTCTCCCCTTCCTGTAGTGCATCTCTGGTTTATAGTTGCTTGTTGATTTTGATTTTGACTTTATTATAATTTGTCTTTTTCCTGGTCCCTCATTTGGGTTTTCTAAATTCCTGCTATGAGTGAGACCATCTGGTATTTTTCTTTTTCTTTCTGGCTTATTTCACTAAGCATGATCCCTTCTAGCTCCATCCATGTTGCCCATCCACACATCTTAAAGCCCCCTTTGGATTTCTGGAGCCATTACATATGCCCCTTTCCTAGCTCTAAAGCCTCAAGAAGGACAAATCTAAGCAGGATATTTGCAACCATACCCTTGGCCTTAATATCCTTCCCTTGAGTGGCCAGAGTATTGATGGAGTTCAGATTCCCTCATGGTGTGGTTTTCTCCCAGGTGGGCCCAGGTAGAAATGACATAAGACATCAGGTATCAAATGTCAAAGTTCAGACGTCAAACTACTTAAGCACCTTGAGATGCTCTTTCAACTATTATTCTCCACATTTATCCACTAGAACAGCTTAAAGAATCTACCAGTGCTAGGAATCAAGGGTCCTACCCACATTGATTGAAGAGACTAATGCACATGGAACAATTAATAGCAGTACAAGTATGTGTAGTGTTGGGTACCGGGCTCAGAAAGGAGAGTGGTGTTTAGGGTATGTGGGGTTGGGCAGGGGGTGGGACAGAAGGTACTGAGAAATAGAGCTCCTCAAAGTGGCTGAGATATGAGGAGCTCCTCTCTTTTCCTTGACTTCTTCCACAGCCAGCATTCCATTCCTATTCAATTACCTGTTGCTGAGTTTTAGAGACAACCCTAAAACTCAGTGGTGTAAAACAATTTATGTCTTTTACCTCTGCTGACAGCGTTCAGCTGGTTGACTCTCACTCAACATCTCTTGCAGCTGCAGTCAAATTAATGGCCAGGGAAGAAGTCACATCCTAAGGTCTACTGAGCAGAACATACAAGTGGACATCACTCATTCACAAGGTTGATTGGATGTGAGATAGAAGTTTGTGGAGAGCTCAGCACCTATTTATAACCTCTCTCTGTGATTTGGAATTTTCACAGAATGGTGTCTGTTTTGTAGAGCTAGTATTCCAGGAATGAAGGTTCTAAGAGACCCAGGTCAATATTGCAGAGCTCGTTACAACCATGCTGTTTATAACCAAATTCCAGAATGTCATTTCCACCATTTTCTGTTAACCAAGCAAATTGCAATGCCCCCCCACCCCCGCCCCAGCTTCACAGGACAAGAAGCAGCACACAAACTTCAAGAGGGATGCCATCTTGGAGACTATCCCCCTCTACTTCCTTTATATAAAGCAAAAAGTCTTTTAAGGAGCTGGAAGAGAGAGAAGAAATGAGCAACTTGCTAGAGAAACAAAGAGGAAAGAGACTTTGCTCCTGTGTCTAGAAGAAGGTACCTCTCAAAGTCCCACCCCACTCTCCTCTCTCACCTCTCATGCCCAGGTTTGTTCTTCGACTATAGCCAAGGCCCAGAATTCTGGGTCAGAATGTAGAAGAGAATGGAAAAAACCACTTACATCATCCCAGCTAAGCAGCCCACATTGGAGAATGCATTTGCTACGTGACTATTGCCACGAAATTGTTTATCTGCCCTTGCTGCTGTGAGGCCTTTAAGGGACATGATCTGGTGCCAGTGACATCCCAGCAGCGGTTGCCCTGGAGACCTGGAGGTCAAGGATGGTAAGGGAGTTTCTTGCCAAGATGACCTCACATAAAAATGTCTTTGCTTTTTTGGGACCACCTGGTAATTGAGCTATGAAGGAGAGAAAAAGAGCCATAAATTCCTCAGAAATGTGTGCACAGGCAGAGCAGAGTGGGCTAATGCACCGAGTCCTTGCTTGCAAGTGACCAGGCGTGCCTGGACCCCTTCCACTCCCCCCGGACTGGCTCTGATGGGGATGTCCATCTAACCTCCCTGGCTGTGGGCCCAGGAGCCCAAGGTTCATTTGGAAGGCCCGGTGGCTTGAGACTGCCCTTCCCATTCATCTGGGTTATTGCAAGTCCTATCCCCCACCAGGTTTACCCAGTCAACCCTACTCCTGAGACTTCTTCAATTTCCTCCCCCAACAAACACAAAGTGTGCTTCTTTCTCTTTCTATAGAAACTCTACTCTGTATTAATTATGTCCCTTGGATCATGATCCCATCTTGTGTTTGTACCACCACACTCCACTTCTATTTAGTCATTAAAAAAAAAAAATAAAGAAACCCTGTCCAGCCCACAACCCCAAACAACAGCCAGCACTTGACAGTAGCCAAATTATCTTCCAACTCCCAAGGGACAGTAAAAAGAAAATTAAACAGCCAGTCACCCACACAGAACAGCCCTAGTCCTTGAAAAAATCTTCACTTCTAGTGTCCCAAGAAGGTGTGCTTTCGCAGTACCTCGATATTTACATGGCCCAAGCGTCCCATTGAAATCCCTGTCATTTAAAAACCGGGTTCCCAACTCGCATATCGTTTCATTTTAATGATCTGTGCTTCCTATGGAAACATGGAAAATGACTTTATTTTTCAATTAAACATGGAACGGCCCGCAGACCAAGGCGGCCTCTCTTCCCAGCTGCCCCGGGAGCGGGCGGGGAAGGGGTTAACCGAGACCGGGTGCACCCCGGGTGGAAAACTGGGTAACCCGAGCGCGGCCCGGCCCGCCGCGCGCATGCGCACGGGCCGCCCTCCGCGCCCCGCGGCCGGCTCGGGGCTCGCGGCTGCCTGGGCGCACAAAGGCGCGCTTTGTTCTCTCGGCTCTGTTTTAAATATCTGACGACGATTCCCCCATCCTTGCTCCAAATCCCCCGGCCTGGCTGCAGGCGCGGCACAAGGGCGCATTGTGGGGCCTGGCGAAGAACTGAGGGGGGCTAGGGGCGCCGGCCCGTGGGGGACGCTCCTGTTTCGCTACGTTGACTCAGCCTTTTGGGTCACCCCGGCCTGGGTCGTGGGGGTGGCTGCGGGGGACCGATGGCGCGGGGGATGGGCGCTGGTCGTCGAATGGAGAGGTCGAAATTCGAAAATGGGGCGACCCCCCCCCAAACACACACACACACACATACACACACTGGCATGAACAGAACCGTTGCCAAAGCAGATCTGGAAGGGGGTGTTGGGGTTTCAGCCGAGAAAGAGGGGGAACGCCGGCCCAACCCCAGCCCTGGGCTGCCAGGGGTGGCGAACCCACGAAGCCCGGCGCTCGGTTTCTTATCAGTCATCGTTGTACATATTTAGAAAGTGCCTATCGGCTCGGGCACTTTGAAAAGCGTGGCATTCCAGCGCAAACCAACCCGAACTGCGGGGGGAGACCGGTGGAAGGAAACTTGCTTCCCTCAAGTTCGGCCCAAGAGGCGCTGCAGAAAGGGCATCACGTGGATTTTCTGCACACACAAAGTTCAGGCCCAAGGTGGTGCTTGGCTTATTTTAGGGGTCGCCCCTCCGGAAAATCACACCTTCTCTGGAATGGCTCCACCCTCCAAGGGTTGGTAGGTGAAAATTGGGATGGCGTTCAAACCAAAGTAGACTTTCAGCTGGCGCAAGAGGTGGCCCTCCCCCACCCCACCGCTTGTCTCGGCATCCCTGCAGGCTGCCAGCTCGTTTTCCTTCCCCGCTCAGGTGTCTGTTTACCTGCTGCTGCAGAGGAGCAAGTTCTTGTATTCAGGGAGGTTTGCACAAGGAGAATCACAGAAGCCACCTTTCTTTCCCATTTCCCTTTTCAATAGGGAAATCACTGCCTTTCAGATGGGGGTCTTGTACCCTTAAAGATAAACACAAATGTGAGCTTAGTGACTCTGAAAAATGTGCTTGGACTTGAGTTTAATCAAAAAGTTTTACTATCCCCGCAGGTGAGCAGAGCCCCTGGGCCCCTGGCAATCAGGAAAGGAAATGGCGACCCTCCACCCAGAGCAGAGAAGGAGGAACTGGCTTGGGAGGATTTGATTCCCAAGCAAGGGCTTTTTTGTTTTGTTGTGGTTGTTCTAGACCTAATTGGAGCCCCCACATCCTCCCTCATGGTTTGTTATAAATCTCAGGGTTGGACTTACATTGCCTTGGTCACGTCACTCAGGTGTGAAAACCATAAATATTTCCTGAGATTTTTTTTTTACATCATACTTCATAATGTTCGCATTTCACATATTGTCTCATTCCACTAATACTCTGAGTATTAGGCCTAAGCGCTCCTTTAGACCACCCTCCTGTTTTGCAAGGAGGGAACATGTCCAGAACCACCCAGGAAGACATGGCAGAAGTGAGCCTGGAGGCCTAGTCTCCGACACCCATGACTGGATTCTTTCCTCTCTGCCGTGCTAGTGGACATGGATGGAAAGACCATGTGTGGCAGATCTATGGCTTCCTCATAAAATTCTTTCCAAACAAAGGAGTCTGACTCAAAAGTCAGATTCCTCGTATTCCAGCAGTTTTGAGGAAAGACAAGGAGCTTTCAGTAGGGGGATCTCAGGGGATCTCAGTAGATCCCCTCAACCTGCTGAGTCTACAAACACCACAGGACAAGCTTAGGGACATAAGTCATGACTCACTGCCAGGGTTGCTAAGTGGCTGAGAAATCCTGGCTGTCTTATTTCCAGGCACTCTTCAGTCTCCTGAGGAATTTCTTCAAGCAACACTAAGTGTCCTTTCACCACTCTGTTAGCTGGTAAGCTCCCCTATCTCTAGAGATGATAGCAGCCCCAACCCCCAGCTCCCTGCCAGCTGATCAACCTGGAGCTGAATTGTCTGGAGAATTCTTACCTAGAACTTGACTCCCCTCATGGGTGGGTGCACAGAATCTCCCCAGCTGTCTAACAGTATGACCCCTCTCCCTTCATGCACCTGCAGACTCAGATGCTGGAAGGTTTACTGGAGCATGTCTGGGATGCAATATAAACTGCTTGGAGAAAAGCCATCACCAGCAGCCTCACTGCATCGCAGGCAGAGGGAGCGTTTATACCCACAGATGTTCAGAGAGTGGCATCATTCTAGATGACCTTGAGCTTGCACCTTTGGCTTTGGCACATCCTTCTTATTTTTGCATTCTACTTTGACCGACCACTTCCACCACCACCCTGACCCCTTGAGCCAAGCATGGGTTTCAAGTTCTCCCTTCTGGGGGATGAACTAACATTTCGAGCCATCTTGTGTTGATGCTGCCTGGTGGCCAGCACAGCTCAGTTTCAACTTGCTGTCTTTGCCCAGCAGTGTTTGTGCACGTATTTGAATATTTTATTGCATTTTGACCTTATTATTTTATAAGAATGAGTGGAAAATAGAAAAATGAAGTGCTGATGCTAGTGATAAGGTGGTCTCATAAACCTAATATAATTGAGACAAATATGGAAATCATTAGGAATGCGGAGAGTAGGGGAATATTTAGCCTCAATCAAATGCTCCCTGGATTTAAGCCGGCCGACTGTGTGTTCAATTGTGAAGGAAAGAGATAAAATTAGAACATTCTGGACACGCACAGTCAAAGGTCACATCTAAAGGTGGGGAATGAGTAGGGATTTAACTTACTCCCTCAATTCTAAAGCTGCATTGATTTAATAACAGTTTTTGGAGCTGGGATGAGGGAGTCTCTGTGGCTGGAAGTCAAGAAACTACAGTGATAATATTGTTTACCTTCCTGGGAGCAGAACTTTCTCATATAACTTGCAAGTCTGCTGCTTGTCTCTTGCGTGGTAGACCTGCAGATTTTCAGGAAAGCCTTGAGTATGAAAGGAGAGGGTGTCTTGTAGACACATCCTCTGGGGGGGGGGGTCCCCACTGCACCAAAGCCAGGGACAAGGCCTTTAATTAATAGGCTGGAAAGGATGGAACTTAACAGAAGCTCTTGTGCCAGGAAGCTTTCGCAGCTCCCATGTGCCAGCTTATACAAAGTCATGAGAGTCAAAGGCAAAGAATGTGGGGCTGGTCTTTTCCGCGTGGGCACCAGCTCCTTTCACAGCCATTGTCCCAGCTGTCCCTGGGGCTGGAGGGGACATGCTTTCCCTCTCAGCCTTTGCGCTGTTTGTGCCCTCTGCCTGGATCAGCTGTCCTTCCTCCAGCTGCCTGGCTGCCTCCGGCTCAGCTCCTGCCTCCTGCGCTCCCATGTTTGCTCTTTCTCTGCCCTCTCTCCCGCCTTCTTTACCACTTTGCTCTCTTCACGTCGTGTCCCCATCACTGGCTTGCCCTCCAGAGCGTGGGGGCAAGGAGACTTCTTACTCATCTGTATATCTCAGCATCATTACTCTGTGGCCCCCTGTGTTTGCTAAGTGACCGGGGGACAGAAGGGGTGACAGACCTTAAGGAAGACCTTTCCGGCACCAGACTATGGGTGGGTGCTTGCAGGCGCGACTTAGCTCAGCCATCTTGAATTTTGTAGACACTAGAAGCCAGACCCCATCTGTGTCCAAATTGTCTCTGCCCACAAGGTCCCCTCATCTGGGGGGACTTCTTGCCCACAGTAGTGTCTTCACTACCACCCACTCCCAGCCCTGCAACGCTGCCCTTACAGCCCCTGTGCAGTTCTTTATGAAGACTTCGACTAAAGAGAGCCACTGACTTTTCCTTCGACCACGGGATTCTTGCTGAATTCTTACCACTTTCCTCAGGCAAAAACAACCCAGAAGTGCAGTCTGATCCAAAGCATTTCCCAGGGAGGGCAGCCAAGTGAGTGCAAGGACCTCTCGGCCGTCTGGGACTGTGATGTGATGTCTGAACAGCCTCTTTAGAAACACTCCAGCCTTTTCCAGGGATGCCATCCAGACAGGGATGCTCCCCTCGGCCCCTTGCCGTTGTGCGGGGGGTCCTGAGGGAAGACGTGGGGAGCACTCACTCGGGGAGTCCAGCTGGCTGGTCCGCGGTCGGCAGCTGTGAATGGAGAAGGGGTCTGAGTTCCGGTGCGCACCCTTCCACCCACTGGACTGCCGCCCTGGCTGTGACCATGGGAAGTGACTCTCTGAGGGGGTAGCTCAGAGAAGACCACCATGGCCCACCTCCCACCTCACCCCGCATGACGCCCACCAGGCCTCTTTCTGGGGGCGGGCGCCGGCACTTTCAGCATCAGTTCCACTTACTCTGGTCTCTGGAGCTCAGGCACTCTGGGGCGCTGCCCAGAGTCCACTTGATAGAGTGCAATTCTTTTCCCGTGGGGCTCTGAGCAGGACTTGGCTGTTGGGGGGTGACTTGGCAGGGCGACAATGCCAAGGCTCGGATGCATCTTTTCTGTGTGAAGTCCCAAACTCAGACAGGAAAATATGCCTTCCCCTGAGCGCTAGGCTCCCCCAAAGGCATTTGCATCACCCCCCACCCCCCAACAATGATATATAAAAGGAGCCAGTAGCCTGCCCCCTGTGAGGACAAGGCTGTGATTCAGAGCAGCTCCAGGGACATCCCAACCGTGAGAGCGCAGCTGGGGCAGTTTATGAACAGCGCCGAGTCCCTGGGGGAAGTCGGCCCTGTCCTCTAGCCTACAAGCGCCTATTGTTCGCTTTCTTGTTTTTCTCCAAATGTTTAGATGTGCTCAGAGCACAGAAAAGCCCTAAACCCAGGGACCGGCTGAGGCTGGGAAGCCTGTGGCTGGAAAGCTGTGAGACCTCTGCCCCCTCCCCAGCCAGCTGGGGCTGCGGATGAGGGGGTGGCTTCTCTCAGCCAGCGCTGTTTGCAGAGCGGCATGGGGTTGTTCCCCCAAACAAGGTGTGAGGTGCAGCCCAAGCTGACTTGGTGGCCAGCCAGGCACTATTGCTAGTTACCTTGGGGTGGTCCAGAATATGGGCCAGAGTCTCTTCACATTGCTTGTCACCGACCAAGGCCACCAAAATCTGATGGAATAATCGTATGCTGGGGCCCTGACAGCATCAAGAAATTGGGCTCCAAGGTTCGTCTTCTTGGGTTTGATTCATGGCTCCAGTTCTTACCAGCTGTGCAGTTTGAGGCAAGTGACTCAGCCTCTCTGAGCCTGTTGCCTCCTTGGTATAAAGACACCTACTTCATAGAGGGATCATGGATTTAATGAGATAAGCATGGGAGAGCATTGGCACAAAATTAGCATCAGTAAATATTGGTTATTCTCTGGATTATTCTTATTTCATTCTTATTGGTGATCACTGTCACACCACCCCAGCCACATTGTCTGCTTGATCTCCCTAAACTGAATACCTAAAACTCAACAAACTCCAGTTGTGGCTTAGCGAACAGCTGTGTGAAACCTGCGCTGCCAGAGGGATGAAGGATGAAGTGCCGTGAAGCAGGGGAGAGAGAATGTGCCCCTCCTCCTCAGCCCCAGACCGGCTTTCTCCGGTCTCACATTACCTGTGCTCCTCCTCCCTTCTATTCTCAGCCTCAGCTCCACCATGGGGCCCACCGGAACCCCCACCCCTGCCAGCCAAGCCCCTCTCCCCTCCGTACCCACAGGCAGGGCTTGGGGCTGGGGCAAGAGGCAGAAGTGGAGTCTGGAAATTTTACTAGATCAAGAGGGTAGGGAATCCAGATTCCAAACTTCAAACTCCACAGGTCTGGGCTAGAGATTTGGGGGTCTATTGTGAAGTGGGATGGCAGAGTGGAAGAAGACAGGGAGTGGGTGGAGAACACAAAAAGGCAAGAGAGGGCTCTGAGTGCTAGCCCTCCCTGTCTTGGGCTAGTTCAGATCCCAATTTGGAGCTTTGGTTCTTCCACCACCTCAAAAAACAGAACTGAGGCACCCCGCCCCCCCCCCACCCAACCCCCCTTGGATTCATTAATCCTTTCAGGAATAGGCCCTGCAAGCCTCCTGGACAGGCCATATGGTTTCCTTATCTTCCTTATCTCCTAGCACTCACCTTCCATTTGGAATGTTTATCCTGAGATAAAGATCAGATTCCACTTAGGGTGATTGAATGGGGGCCTCCTCCACATATTTCCCCCACAATTTCAAATGAATGGATGATCTAGTGGAATAATAAGTGGGCCCCACCAGGCTCCCATAATGAATGGGGCTCCTCCCACATTCCCAGCCCCCTTCATGCACCCCAGCCTCCTCTCCCTACAACTACCCCTTCGTCCACCTGGGCAGCCCAACTTCTACTTGCCTCAGAGGAGTTTTCCAGAAGATTTCCACTGAACAAAGTGTAATTGCTGTAAATAGTGTTTAAAAACCCAGAGATCTGATACTGGATCAGTGCTTTTCAATAGACGTGTAAGGCAAGCCGTAAATGGAAGCCCATGTGCAATTTTGTGTTTTCTAATAATTGCATTTTAAAAAGTAAAAATGAACAGCTAAAATTAAAGGATGCATTTCATCTATTCTTATATAATTTGGCTATTATATTAATATGATAACATTTTTGTAGCTCAAAAATTTGACATGTAATCTGTATATAAATAATTTGTGAGGTATTTCACATTTGATTTTTTTGGTACTATTGAGTCATAGGGCAATTCCTGGTGGGGAGACTAGATCTGAAGACTTGAAATGACGGTATCACTGTGTCTTCAACATCCAGCAAGCATCATTCAATTCAAACTAGCCACCCTCCCAGGGCACTGTCGCCCCGCGGCCCGTGGCTGTCGTGTCAGTCAGGAAGGATCTCTGTAGGACAGAGCAGGCCAAGAACTCGGGGCAAGGACACTGTGGGCAGGGCAGCCATCACCCCTAAGCCCATGCCAGCGACAGCCCCTGGGGGAGGATGAGCAATCCACTCTGTTCACAGTCAAAACTGAGGTCTAGGGCCTCCCTGGTGGCGCAGCGGTTGAGCGCTGGGTTGCGAAGCTGCCCGCAGCCTCTGCAGCGCCGGTTCGATCCCCGGCTACTCCCCTGCTCCCCAGCCCACATGGCGCGCAGACCTCTCCTGCCGCCCGCTGCTCCCCTCAGCGGTCCTTCTGTACTTCGGTCCTTCTGCCTGCTCTGCTCCCCGCTCTGGCTCTGGTGAATTCTCTCACCCTCCCGCGCTTCTGACTGTACCCAGTGCTTGTATAAATAAATAAATAAATCTTTAAAAAAACAAACAAAAAATCTGAGGTCTAGACTTCATCTCCTACCCCTGCTAGCCTTTCCCCTCCCAGGAAGGAAAATGCATACAGACACAATAACTGTTTTTAAGGTAGCAGCAATTTTATTGGTGCTAATTTAATGCTAGTCATTTCACCTGCTAATAAAAGTGTTCACTGAAGACCCCAGCACTGTGTGTTGTTTCCCATAGGCTATTTGAAAGTGAAGCTGGTGCTGTTTGACCTCAAGCACCCATGTAGGGGTCTCTGCCACACTTTGTCTGAGCAGGGGAGAGGGCTGCCTGGAATAGGGAGTCAGACCTGGGTAACCAATGCCAAATAGATACTTCCTTGGACGGAGCTCACACAAGTCATCCAGATGCCATATTTAAATGACCATTTATGTTTCGGACATAGGAAGGCAGAAGAGGGTGTGGGGTTGTGATTTGTGTGTACACGTCCAGACCCTTCTGTTTGCAGTGAGCCTTCAATGAGTGGATAAGGAAGCCGGGCTCCTGCTGCAGCAGTTATGCCCAGCAACTCCCCTCCTCTTAAGAATAAGATCGACAGGATGCAAACAAAGAGAAGGAATGAAGAGGATCCTCCAGCCAAGCAGTGGGTGTTCAAGATGCCAAACCTGAGCCCCAGCTGGGGGAAGCGCTGGAGCACCTGTGCCAGACCACCTGCGTGAGAGCTATTCCCTGGCGCCTGTATCTGCTTTATTTTTCTTCTTGACGTAGTATTTTATTTTCCTTTGTTGCGTGCTGTCCTCAAAAAGATTCATTTCTTGCTGCCCTAGAAGTGCCTAGCAGCGTGCCTGCAGCTCATAATAAACATTTGCTAACAGAATAAATAGTCATAATAAATAAAAAGATGGGCCCAGAATCCTGGGCAGGGCCAGAAGAACTGTGATCTTAGGAATAGTCTGCAGATGAAAAGGAGCAGGTAAAAAAGGCTGGGAGATGGGGTGGGGGGGTGTCGAGGGGAATGTGAAGAAGCAGAGAGATGGTGGTCATTGTGTGTGATACCCCTTGTAATGGGAGACAGAGAAGAATTTGGAAAAAGTAGAGGAATGTGATTGCAGCACAAAGCAGTGAGATTATTTTGTCAGCAACATTTGGATCCCATTGGTGATGAGAGACATGTGGGTCCAGCAAGGAGACAATTGTGGTAGTCAAGACAGGATGTGAATAAGACATAAAGGAGTGTTTCATCAGTGGGAATGGAAAAGAACCAGGACTGCAGTAGCCAAGTCAAGGAGAAGGAAGGATCGGGCCCAGTGTCCCTGTGTGCTGCTTCTCATATGCTACACACACACACACACACCCCTACACATACACACACACACACACACCCCTACACACACACACACACACACACACACACTGCCCACTGGGATCACACATTCAAAGGCCCTCATCACACATCACAACTGCAAGTCCTGCTTTCTGCTTCAGTCTTTGTCTCTGTTTCTTCATGGAGGGGAAGAGAAAGGCAGGACACAGAAACTTTGAAGGAGGAAAAACCTCCTCCATTAACAAGGTAGAGAAGAGTCTTCAAAGAAGGTTAAGGTTTCCTGGGACAGAAAAGAATGGCCTGGAAGAGGAGAGAGCTCCTTCTTGGATCTGGACCAGAAGGACCACTGCTCACTGACATCCAGACACATGTTCACACATGTGTGGGCCACGTGAAGGGTCTGTAATTGAAATGGGGGTAACCAAGGAGGTAAAAGAACTGCTTGTTAGAAATGGGTGGGGGGCCTCCCCGGTGGCGCAGCGGTTGAGCGCTGGGTTGCGAAGCTGCCTGCAGCCTCTGCGGCGCCGGTTCGATCCCCGGCTGCAGCCTGGCCACACCGGAGGAGGGTCCCACATGGCGCACAGACCTCTCCTGCCGCCCGCTGCTCCCCTCAGCAGTGTATTTCGTCAGTCTGCCTGCTCTGCTCCCCGCTCTGGCTCTGGTGAATTCTCTCACCCTCCCGCGCTTCTGACTGTACCCAGTGCATGTATAAACAAAAACAAACAAACAAACAAATAAATAAATAAAACATGCCTCTATTAAAAAAAAAAATAGAAATGGGTGGGGACCTTCCTGGGGATCCAGCTGAAAAAGAACTTTCTTTTTTTATTATTATTAATTTATCATTGTAATTTTTTAAAGATTTATTTTTTATTTATACTATAGCTGGGGTACAGGCCAAAGGTGCAGGAGGGTGAGAGGATTCACCAGAGACAGAGTGGGGAGCAGAACAGGCAGACTGACTGAAATACACTGCTGAGG